ACACAGACCCTTTGTTTCTCTCCCTCCTCCCAGCTTTTGAAAGTATCTTGTCTCCTCATTGGTCATTTTGTCAGGTGCCAGTGAGGTTACCTTTAGCTTCTTAACCCTTTACAGGTGAGAGGATTTTTCCTCTGGCCAGGAGGGATTTTAAAGGGGTTTACCCTTCCCTTTATATTTATGACAGTGACGTCCTTCCGGGAGTTTTGGCTGGCCTGGCGAGAGCAGCGGTGTGCCTTTCTCTCGGCGTGGCGATTGTGGGACCTGGGGAAGGTGCGCACCAAGCTCTTCTGCCGTGACAACACCCGGGGCACCAGCCGACGGAGAAATGCAGCGATAGAGCAGTTGGAACGGGAGGTCTTAGAGATGGAGAGGCGTCTGGTCGCCAGCCCCGAGGACTCATTCCTCTGCGGAGCATGCCAGGAGAAGCGGGAGGAGCTCCGGGCCCTCGAGGACCATCGGGCCCGAGGTGCCTTTGTTCGATCCCACATCCGCCTCCTTCGGGACATGGATCGCGGCTCCCGTTTCTTCTACGCCCTGGAGAAAATGAGGGGGGCCAAGAAACATGTCACCTGCCTTCTAGCAGAAGACGGCACCCCCCTCACGGATCCGGTGGAGATGTGTGGAAGGCCCGTGACTTCTACACAAGCCTTTTCTCCCCGGATCCGACCGATCCTGGTGCTTGCAGGGTGCTCTGGGAAGAACTCCCCACGGTCAGCGTGGGCGACCGAGACCGACTAGAGCTGCCTCTCACCCTGGCCGAGTTCTCGGAAGCCCTTCGTCGCATGCCCACCAATAAATCTCCGGGCATGGATGGGCTGACCATGGAGCTCTACCGCGCGTTCTGGGATATCCTTGGCCCAGACTAAGCCACTGTCTGGGCCGAGTTTTTGCAGGGCGGGGTCCTCCCTCTTTCGTGCAGGCGAGCAGTGCTCGCCTTGTTGCCGAAGAAGGGGGACCTCTGCGATTTACGAAACTGGCGTCCCGTCTCACTCCTTAGCACGGACTACAAAATTGTAGCGAAAGCAATCTCACTGCGGCTAGGGTCCGTGATGGTGGACGTGATCCACCCAGACCAGACCTACACTGTCCTGGACCGCAGCATTTTTGATAACCTATTTCTAATCTGAGACCTTTTGGAACTCGGGCGTAGAGACGGTCTGTTGTTCACCCTCCTGTCTCTTGATCAGAAGGCGTTCGATAGAGTGGACCATGGGTACCTCCTGGGCACTCTGCAGGCGTTTGGATTCGGACCTCAGTTTGTGAGTTTTCTCCAGGTGCTGTATGCTTCCGTGGAGTGTCTGGTTAGGCTCAACTGGACCGTGACCGAACCGGTCAGCTTTGAGCGAGGAGTACGGCGGGGTGCCCCTTCTCGGGCCAGCTGTACGCTCTGGCGATCGAGCCCTTCCTCTGTCTCCTCCAAGGGAGGTTGACAGGGTCGGTGCTGCGGGAGCTGGAGCTGCGGCTGGTCCTGTCGGCGTACGCCGATGATGTGCTCCTCGTGGTCCAGGACCTGGGCGACTTAGTGCGGGTGGAGGCTTGCCAGGCCATCTATTCAGCAGCCTCCTCCGCCCGAGTCAACTGGGTCAAGAGCTCTGGCTTGGCGGTGGGGGACTGGCGGCAGGTGAGCTCCCTCCCATCCGCGCTTCAGACCATCCGGTGGAGCGCGGGTCCACTGCTCTACCTAGGTGTTTACCTTTCTGCCACGCACCCTTCTCCGCCGGAGAACTGGCAAAATTTAGAAGGCGGGGTGATAGAGTGGCTCTGGAAATGGACAAGGCTACTCCGATGTCTCTCCCTCCGAGGGAGAGCACTGGTGCTTAACCAACTAGTCCTGTCCATGCTCTGGTACCGGCTCAACACCCTGGTCCCGGCCCCGGGTTTCCTGACCAACCTCCAGACATCGATTCTAGAGTTCTTTTGGTCAGGAATGCACTGGGCCCCTGTTGGGGTTCTCCATCTACCCCTGAAGGAAGGAGGGCAGGACCTGAAGTGTCTGCACACTCAGGTCCATGTCTTCCGCCTCCAGGCCCTGCAGAGGCTCCTTTATAGTGCAGGTAGTTCGATGTGGAGCATATTGCACACGTCAATACGACTGGCAGCTCTTTTATCTTTGTCCGAGAGGTTTTCCGCAAGACCTCTCCGGGCTGCCAGTCTTCTACCAGGACCTCCTCCGGACCTGGAAACTGTTTTCAACAACCAGGTCCGTGGTGGCCACCGTGGGAGCAGATCTCCTCGCGGAGCCCCTGCTACACAACCCCCAGCTCCGTGTGCAGGTGGCAGAGTCCCGCTCGGTGCGCCAGAGTTTGGTCCTGGCGGAAGTCACGAGAGTCAGAGACCTCCTGGACTACGACCGGGGAGACTGGCTGGATCCCCTGACGCTCGCTCGGCGCATGGGGCTCTCCAGACCTTGTATCCCCCGGCGCGTACTTCAGGAGGTGAAGGCCGCCTTGATGCCCGCTGCTCGGGCTTATCTCAATTGAGCCCTGCGCGAGGGTGCACCCCGCCCACCCTCTACCCCAGGCCCGCCGGACCTTTCAATTGGGTCCCTACCCTGTAGATCCCAACAAACCCGTCACCCTTTCCCTGTGAGCCGGCTGCATAAACTGCAGCCGGTCAGCTTCCAAATCGCGCCACGGAAACATCTATACACATTCACGCTTCACACCCTTCACTCCCACACCCTGGTGTCCCGCCCCGATGGAAGGTGGTGGGACCTCCTGCCACCTTTGGAGGGTGAGCAAACCCGGTGGGCCAGCCTGTAATCCACCTTGGTCCCGAGGCCCGTCGGGGACATTAGTTGGCGGCTCCTTCACGGAGCTGTGAGCACGGGCGTGTTTTTGACACGGTTCACCCCCATCCCGGATACTTGCCCTTTTTGCAACGTGAGGGAAACCCTGGCGCACGTATATTTAGTGTGTGCCAGGCTGCAGCCCCTTTTCCGGCTCCTTACGAATATTTTATTACGCTTTTGGCTACACTTTTCCCCTCACCTTTTTATCCGATGAAGTGAGCTGTAGCTCACGAAAGCTTATGCTCAAATAAATTGGTTAGTCTCTAAGGTGCCACAAGTACTCCTTTTCTTTTTGCGAATACAGACTAACACTGCTGTTACTCTGAAACACTCCCCATCCGTGGCCCCACAAAATCACAGGATCTCCTGGTTAACCTCCTCCTAGCCCCTAGCTAAAACAGCCATCTATAAAACCAGAGAGGGGAGGTTGGCCAAGGAAGCGTCCTGCGACTGTAGGGCCATTTTCCGATCCTCGGTACATTCATGTATCCGGGCGGAGTTCCTCTAGGCGGCGTCCACCAACTCTCTTGACGCCTTCGAGGAGTGGTGGGCGCTGTCCGAGGTTCTCTGCTCAATGACCCCGTCCGGTTCCCTCCGTCTGACCCTTTGATTGAGGGGAAGAGCGAGAGACCCCAGCCCCAGCCGTTGCTGCTGTGGATACCATCATCTTTGTCACCTAGGAGGGGTCCTATCACACGTGGGTGTACGTCCCCCCACCCCACCCCCAAACCGCCCACCCCGCAGCCGTGCCCATCTTGTCAGGCACTCTCAGGAGAGGAATAATCGGTGACACTGGGCGTGGCACTAGGTAACTTGAGGGGGTGGAAGACCATGAGTGTTGAGGAAGCCCCCCCCGCTCTAGGCCAGCAGGTGACTCAGGAGGGTGGAAGACCACGAATGTCAAGGAAGCCCCCCCAGCTCTGGGCCCAGGCTAGCCTGAACACTTCTCCCTCCTGAAGGCTGCTGTGTTATACCTTGTGTTTGCTTTTATTTTGTTGCATAGTTTTGCTTTATCCTTTTTGGTGATTCTTTGTAAGTGTTACACAAATGAAATTATTTTCTTCTTCTTCTTCTTCAAAAAAAATTACTCTCCTGTAGCCATCCGGCCCGACCCTGTCACAAAGGATACAGGCAGTGAAGGCAAATGGCAGGTCTGAGTGTAGAGGGGAGCTACAGGAGCAGGAGTTGTGTCTCAGGATGCTCCTTTTCTCCAAAAGAAGCAATGTAACTTAAGGAAGCTGAGAGGAAACTACAAGTTTATTTTGTCAAGGGAGGACAGATACTGTGTCTAGCTCTATTTGTACTGCAGTATAGGTTTAAAATAATAATTAAAGGTGAAAGATGTGCAGTTAGTATCATCACTTTTGAAGTGGAAGCTAAAGCTAAACAGAAGATGATCAAGAGGGAGAAAAAGATTAAAAATAGAAGGCAAGAACTGAGGCTTGTAGATCCCCAAAGATGGAGCTTGCAGATTAAAAAGGAGTCACCTCTAAAAATTTAGAACAGTTTGAGAAGAGTGGAATGAATTGTTACTGAAGGGAACAGGAAGTTCCCGGTACAAACCTGGATTCTTTCCAATAGCTTTACAAAAAATCAGCCAATGGGTACCATGCTGGTTTCTGACTGCTGTTAAGAATTTCTTGCTTTTACATATGTTAGCTATTATCTTGACCCAAAGCCTCATGGAATGTAAACTCAACAGATACTGTCAAATCAGTTTGCAAAACCTACTGTTGCTGTAAAAAGAGTGGATGTAATTAATCCTGGGCTAATCCTATGTAACAGAATTTATTCATTGCATCCTTTGAAATCTATCTCTTTACACTGTAAATACTAATGACTCTGGTGCTGTTAAGCAGCAGTTACATTGTCTTACAGCCTGAAACAAGTGCTTTATTGTGTCAGGGTATACATGTCAGTGTTAAAGTGAATTGAAATGATTTTACAGCATTTTGATTATGATCTTTAGTATTTTTCAAACATGCACCTGATTATATTCTTGGGGAAGCTTTGTAATACACATTTAGGGCCAAGTTATTATGCCTTGGTATGTAGGTACCGCTCCCAGTTGAAGGGAAGATTGTGACCCATATATTTGTTTGTGAAATGTGAACAAAGGACTGTTTCTTTAAAAAAACAAAACAAAAACAAACAAAAAAACAAACCCCACACCATCCCGCTTGTTTTTTTTTTTCTTTCTTTGTTTTAGAATGGTTATTTATGGGCAGTACTGCAGTCAAGTGGAGACAGCCATATCCTGCTTGGACAACATCTCTAAGACAAAAGAAGATGTTAAATTGAAGCTAGAGGTACTGATATTTATTTTTTATATACAAATATATATCCACCATCCCCCCAAAAAAGAAAACTGTTCATTCTGACATGTGGTTCTGTGAGTTTCTTTTCTTTTCCTTTTTACCTGGACTAACTGATCAAATTAACTTGTCAGGTAGACACAGAAGAGGTCGAATCCTGGTCCCACTGAAGTCAGAAGAAGTCTTGCTATTGACTTCAGTGGGGTCAGGATTTACCCAAGAAGTGGTTTTGTCAATAAAACACTTTTTTCTCATAGTGTTTTAGGTGAGAGTGAAGGTAGCTGAGAGTAAAATATGGTTATAATTAGAATAACATTTAAAGACTAAACTCTGCCTATAGGCACATCTCTGCACAAGGGATTGTGTGTAAGATGCACCACCCGAGATGTTCAGACAACCTTGGAAGCACAAAAAGAACACGAGTACTTGTGGCACGTTAGAGACAGCCATAAAAATGTTGGCATACTGTGGGGCCATGCGGGTACCCATAGCAGTGCTGCTGACTTGAAGGTATACATTGTCCCCAAATGTGAAATAGTTGTGGGTGAGGACAAAGTCACAAAAGGTCAGCCACCAGGTTTGCCGTGACTTTATCGGGGATACTGTTCCTGACGGGTTGTAGTCCATCTTTGTGTGGAATGTTGGTGTAGAGGGCTTCTACATCCATAGTGGCCAGGAGGGTGTTTTCTGGAAGATCACCGATGGATTGTAGTTTCCTCAGGAAGTCAGTGGTGTCTCGAAGACAGCTGGGAGTGCTGGTAGCATAGGGCCTGAAGAGAGAGTCCACATAGCCACACAATCCTGCTGTCAGGGTACCAATGCCTGAGATGATGGGGCGTCCAGGATTCCCAGTTTATGGATCTTGGGAAGCAGATAGAATACCACTGGTCAGGGTTCTAGGCATGTGTCTGCACAGATCTGTTCCTGTGCTTTTTCAGGGGAAGCACAGTTCCTCTTTGGCCTGGAGGATAATCAGCTACAGCCCTTTATAGGACACAGCATACTGCCCATCAGCTTTGCTGGGGAAGTGAATGTGCAGGGTGGGAGTTTGATGATCCCACCTGTGATAAAGAGGATTTCTTATTTTTTGGTTTACTAGTCACCTTCGATCCACACAGTTGTCATGCCTGTTGTGCTATTTATGCCTACATCTAATAAGACAAAGAGTCTGCTGTTTACCTGCAGTGTTGCACTTGAACTACCTGCTGGGCACTAGCCAGAGTGATTCCAACTGCTATCTCTGTTTCTCTTATAGACACTCACAGCTTCAAATCAACAAAACTCTGTGTGGTTTCTTATCTCTAATTACAGTGTTTATACCACAGTCATCACTCTGCTGTCTGAACACCTGAAGAATAGGATCTGAATCTGGATCCAGATCTTGAATACCCCCAAATTCAGTGGTGTTCTGAGCCAGGGTTTTGGTTCAGCTTATCACTACGGAGATGATTTTTTCCTCATTATGGTGGTATTTATCCAGTATCCTAATATCTGGGTGATCTGGCAAACTTATATGTCTACTTAAAAAAAAATTAGGAGTATACTTTGTATTTTTTTTTATTTTTCAGGAATCACAGCTCAATCTTGTATTTTATTTTTAAAAACTAGGAATGTTCCAAGAGGGCCAATAATGGGAAATTTACTTTGCGGGATCTTCTAGTGGTTCCTATGCAGCGAGTTCTGAAATATCATCTGCTGCTGCAGGTACTTTTTTTTGAAGTTTAAAGTGATTAAGCGCAAAGCTGTGAAGGTTTATCATCAGAGGATTGTTATAATGAGGGTTCAGTACCTTTATTAAAGGACAGTGATTAACATTTTTATAGAGTTGAATTGCGAATTATCTGTGTGGAATCCAGTACAGTTCAGCCTTCTTTGTGGTGAGCATTCCACACAGCTGAAGCATATCTGAGAATAACAATCACTTCCCAGGTATTTGAGCCTTTTCATTTAATGGCTTCTTTAAAAGTTAGTGGTGGCAAACTATGAGAATAGTGGTTTTGTAATGTAGACCACTACCCCCAAAGACTAAGCTGAACGAGATGATACCATTCTTTAAGATACTTCCCTGCTATAGTAAATTCTAATAAAACCATATTTATTTTGAAATGCTTCTTGTTATAACCCACAAAGCTCTTGGCTTCCACCGTTAGTCCTGTAATGAGGGTGGAGAGTCTTATAAATTTAATTTGATAGCTGTTCCAGGAGACTCATTAGTTCAGCAGCAAAGAAATATATTACTGTATTAGATTGTCAACCCTGCTGATGTTTGTAAAATGTAATTTTAAAAAGAGCTGCTATCTTTATGTGAAGCATAATTTTGACTCTGCGGTGCTTTGTGTAATTCAAACTTATTACTTTTCTTGAAATATATCTATATAAATGCAAGTCATCAATATTCTGATCAACAGAAAATCATGAAAAAAACCAAACCAAAACTGATGACAGAACCACTTTCTTAAAACATTTGAGACATGAACCAAGGCAATATAATCAAATTGTATATTATGAAAAAATGATATGAAAGATTATGTCACTCATAGTGTTTTAAAGTGTGAGGCATCATAAAACTACAGTCAGGTGTGTAACAGGGTGTCCAAATATATTAGTCTTTTCAGAAGCAAAATATCCACAAAAATTGCTAGAAAAACTGCACTTTTAAGTAGTAGCATCTATTCCCACCATTTTCCAGTATTTTAGCAAGATATTATTTTTGGTAACAACATATAGTCCTCTTCTTAAAATGCATTCAAGAAGAAATAACTGATTTCTCTCTGGATTTTCTTTTTTGCTTTTAACTAACCCATTAATTTTTCTAGATTCTAGATGGGCTATGTATCTTTTAAAATATAGCAAATAGCTTAACATTCTTGAAATATTTTCATATACTGTCAAGGTATGTCATCCACATTCATGTCTATAAAATATTATATAAATGCAGCTAATCTTGTACTGGAGTAGTGACTATCTCATTGTGGTTAGTCACATATTTTAGTTAAAGATTTTGTCAGCATATATTCCTACTTCATCTTTGCAAACAAACTCTTATTTTGGGGTTTTGACTATTCATGTTGTTGCTAGTAACATGAAAATTATCTAATATTGTTTGCCTGGGCTTTCAGCACAGACTACTTCTCAGGGAATTCTGCACCAAAAAATTAAAATTCTGTGCCACTTTTAAAAAAAAAGTATGAGTATAATATTTTAAAATTCTGCAAAATTCGGCAAATTTTATTTGTCAATAAATAAATGTGGCTCCAGCATGGCAGTGGGGAGCACAGGCCACTGGCTGCACTGAGGTGAGAGATCACCCTGAAGCCCCCACCTCCCCCAGTCCAGGGCCTTGGTAGTGAAGCTGCACTCGACCTTGACACAGTGCAAAGGCTGGGGCTGCCTCAGAAACACCCTGGGACCCTGCCCCTCTGTGCCAGGTGCACCAGGTGTGGGTGGACTGGTTCAGCACAGCAGGATCCAAGTGTGGAGGGGCTTAGTGTGGAGGGAACCAGGTGTGGGGTGAGAGGTTTCTGTGCAGGGCAATCTAGGTACGAGCAGCTCAGTGGGAGATCTGGATGCACAGGGACTTGCTGGGGGGTTCTGGATGCAGAATGGGATTCTGCAGTGGATCCAGGTGAAGATGGTTGGGACTCAGCAAGGAGGCTCTGGGTGTGGGAGATGGGGCTTTATGGGAGGGTCTGGGTGTGGGAGCTCAGTGTGGGGGTCCTGGTGCTGGGGAAGTAGGGCTTGATGGGGTGAGGGTCCAGGTGCAGCTGATTAGGGATCAGTGGGGTGGGGGTCTGAGTGGGGGGGGGGCTCGTTGGAGGAGTGCAGGTGTACGGGGTAGGGCTTGTCAGGGTGAGGGTTTAATGGTCCTGCTTAATGGGGGAGCCCCTGCTGCTGCCGATGCGATGCTGCATGCCGGGCTCCTCCTTCCCCCTACGATTCCCCTATCCCCTTTTCTTCTCCACCCCCTCCCCTCCCCCCACATTCCCCTCCCCCTGCCCTATTCCACCCCGCTCCCTTTCCCACCGCTTCTTCCCCCAGATCCCCTCTTCCCTCATTTCCCCACCTCCCCCTTTTCCAGCCCCACCACTGGCACTCACTGTTGCACAGAAAACAGAGAGGCTGCCAGCACGCAGGGAGAACGACTGACACTAGGACCCAGGGGGCAGTGTTCAGCTGTAGAGTCAGCAGAGCCCAGACATAGCTTCCTTCAGCTGGGCAGCTCTGCGCTTGCAGAGATGGGGGGACAGGGAGCAGTGGCAAGTTACCCTGTGTGCCTCCCCAGGCCTCACCTCTGTTTGTGGGGAGCAATCCCCCACCAAAACCTGTGTCCATGGTCATACTCTCCGCCCCCCAATGTGGCTTCCCTTTGCTTGTCTGCTATTTTCTGCATGGAAGCACAGGAATTCTGCGGGAGGGCTGTTTTCTGCGGGTGTGCAGTCACACATAATCCCCCCAGAAGTAACAGACATGTACAGTAAGGATCTGACTGGTAAATTTTAATTGTTACCAGAATAGAATTAGCTTTTGTTGACTGTTCATTGTCAAATATTATTAGTATTGAGAAATAACAGTACTCACACTTAACACTTAACTATTTGTGGTAATCCCTAGTTGTTCACTATGAGATGTATCATAGAATATCAGGGTTGGAAGAGACCTCAGGAGGTCATCTAGTCCAACCCCCTGCTCAAAGCAGGACCAATCCCCAATTTTTGCCCCAGATCCCAAATGGCCCCCTCAAGGATTGAACTCACAATCCTGGGTTTAGCAGGCCAATGCTCAAACCACTGAGCTATCCCTCCCCTGCAATGTATAGGGAATCATAGAGGAAAAAAATAAATTCTAGGGCTGTTATCTATTTAAGGCAAAATTGGTAAGTTTTTAAGAGTGACCAGTGCACAGTAGTCATTTTATTTCAGTGATAAATGTGTAAACTGATTGGCACCTGGCTGAGTGAAAAGTTGTTATAAGAAATATCCCTGCATTTTGCCAAATAGGAACTGGTGAAGCACACCACTGACCCAACTGAGAAGGAAAATCTGAAGTTGGCACTTGATGCAATGAAGGTAAGTGTGCCATGGCAGGGAGATGTTTACATCTTCACTGCCAGTTAAAATGGTTGGGGCCTTTTTCAGAACACACGGGCATGCAGAAGTGAAGTTTACAGTATATTTGCTGCTGAAGGAGGTCCTGCAATTCACAATAGATCTAGCAAATATTTGTTAACTAGCCACAAACTCTCGTATAAGGAGGCTAGATCAAGGATATTGCTACAGGCTTTTTTAGTAACTTAGCCAATAGGTTTTATATGGTATGGAGTAGAGCTGACTGGCTTCTATTTATCTGTAATATCCTAATTTTTACATTCTGTCCCGTAGTTCTCAGCCTGCTAACCATTTGGAAAAAAATTTGCCTTTCTCAGTTTTACTAGTCCTTTACAAAATGGGTAAAACTTCCATTACTGCAGATCACCTCAAATTTTGGTTAACAGTTTCCCAATAAGGTAAACACAGTTCTCTTTCCTCACAACTTGTGTCCTAGTAATGTCTTTGTTGCCTTAGGCTAGAAGGCATTAATATCTCTCCTAGTGACCGTTACTCCACATGCTACTGCAAATGACACAAGCAAGTGCTTTTTAAAATAGCAGTATCTCATTACATGTTTGGTGCTGTATCCCTCGGCAGTCTGCAATTCCCTCTGCAACTAGCAGTACTCTTAGTTTCCTTTTTTTCTGATGCTGTGCACGGAGTTCAGTTATTGTTTTCGTTATATTTTCCCACTCTATCCTTTTCCTGGTTAATATGTTAGAAAATTGTTCCATTTAGCACATATTTCCTAAAAAATGTTTGCTCCTAGATATTACAGATTATATACCACTGAGGACATACAAATGAGGATAAACACGTGATTTGAATAGAGAAAGATAAGTGGCAAATTTACCAGCACATTCAATGCACAAATATAGAAGATATACTGGTCCACAGCTTAAGATCATACCTAAACTTTTTCCAGATCCCAACACTATATGTGGAAAAGATTCATTTTCCAGAGTCAGTCAGGCCCATTATTGTGCATGGGACCTAAGAATTACGCTGGCTGTTGGCATGCTATTATATACCTTCTATTTTGCTATTCAGACATTACTGCCCTCTCACTGTATGCCTCGGTCTTGAAGTTGTAGATATTTGGACATCCTACTAAACCTATCCAGGATTACTGCATATAGGAGCAATTAGAGCCTCGACTTGGTTACATCTTTTACGCAGGCCTTGTTGTCTTCAGATCTCTGAAATCATGTGCAAATATCAAGACTGAAGGAGATATCCCATTCTCTGACTGAAAGAAGCACTCCACCAGGCTGGAGCAAACCACCTTTAACTTAAACGCTGGTTCCTGTAGGTGGAGATGACATTCCTTATTTCACTATTAATTTTTTTTTAGCCCAGCTGATACCAGTGCTTCTTTGTCCTTGGCTGATTTGGGGTAGGTCGCTCTCAGTCTCTCCTATTGGAGCTCTTCCACTTTGGATAAATAATTAAATATTTACTGGAGCACAGCCATGAACCTGAGTCTCCCATAACCTAGGTGGTTTCCCGAACCATTGGGCTGTTGGCCATTCCGGGAGTCTTTTTTTTCTTTTGCCAAAAAATTCCAAAGATCTAGATTTCCTCTACGCAAAATGTGAATATTTTTTGAATTCTCAAAATTTTAACAGGATGAGAATATCATTTTCTGCCCAGCTTTAATAGACAGTTTTTTTAAAGCTTGCATACTTAGGTGTGTATATCAGCAACTTCTGAACACTTAAAATAACTTTTAAAAAGTCTTATTGTGCAGATTAGGCAAAATAAGTAAGATAAATACAGTTGCTTAAAATAATGTATTGGAATTTTTCTGACTGAAATATTCCCCCCTCCTTTTTTTTTATGCTTTAGGACTTGGCTCAATATGTAAATGAAGTGAAGAGAGATAATGAATCCCTCCGTGAAATTAAACAGTTTCAGTTATCAATAGAGAATTTGGTATGTGATAGGCTATATTTACACCCTTGTTTATTCCAGCTTTTCACCATTGTTCTACTTTACTGATATCTACTGCTCCCTATCATCTTATATAATGCTAGAAACCTGGGTAAAATTCAGGTATGTGTATGTGGTGTTCTTTTGGCTGGCCTGGAATGATATCTGTATACAGTGACTTCCTCTCCATTTCCTTAGATCAGCGGTTCCCAAACTTGTTCTGCCGCTTGTGCAGGGAAAGCCCCTGGCGGGCCACGCTGGTTTGTTTACCTACCGCGTCCACAGGTTCATCTGATCGCGGCTCCCTGTGGTCGCAGTTCACTGCTCCAGGCCAGTGGGAGCTTCTGGAAGCAGTGGCCAGTATGTCTCTTGACCCATGCCGCTTCCAGCAACTCCCTTTCCCTGCACAAGCAGCGGAACAAGTTTGGGAGCCACTGCCTTAGATGCATGCAGCTAAATCAGTTTTGTTGCACGATGCCCCAGGTCCCTTGGTGGGTGGAATAAAAGGAGTTTATTTATGCCTTATCATCCTTAGTAGGACCAAAAGGTGCCAAGTTCTTTTTGACTCTTGGAGAATCTTGCTTTGTAGTATAATGACCAACTTACACTTGAATGTCAGACATTATCTTAACTCTTCTGCTGGCATATATGTTAAATAATGAATTTATTTCCTTTTTTTGTTTTTAGAACCATTCTCTCTTAATGTATGGAAGACCACAAGGTGATGGTGAAATAAGAATAACTACATTAGACAAACGTGCAAGGCAAGACAGGTGAGAATATAGATACAGTACTTGAGTTGCTAAAGTCAGAATTGGTATTAGATAAATGCTTGTAAAATACAGCATGGCATCTGCCTGTGAAATTTGGTGTCAGCTCAGGAATTCTTCTGCATACATCCTCCTTTCATTGTACACACATAGCTCCTATTAATATTAATGTCAAGGAAGTAAATTTTCAAAGTGGTTCAAGAGAAGTTAGCCATTACATTAATATCTAAATCCCTATGCACCTCTTGCAAAAGTACTTTAAGTGGTTCATGTTTTGTTACCCAATAGTTTAATTGCTAAGTTTCAAAATCATAAGTGCTCCGTGCAATGTTTTTATATAATAGTGTATTATTTTAAAAGGATTAGTGAATTGGCATACAGACAAGTTTTTTAACCCTTTATATATTATGTTTTCATAGGCATATCTTCTTATTTGATTTAGCTGTAATTGTGTGCAAACGGCGAGGTGATAATTATGAAATGAAGGAAATAATAGATCTTCAAAAGTACAAAATCACAAATAATCCCACCACTGATAAAGAAACTAAAAAGGTAAATGTTTATAATACTACTACATACAAAATATACGCCACTATTAAATATTTGAGATCCATAGACCTTGAGTATATGAAATATTCTGCAACCACACTTCAGCGATTTGTGTATTTTTTTTTAAATGTCAAAGCCATATAGTATCAAAAACACACTGGACATTGTGGTTTAAAGTAGATGACTATTAAAGGGCTTCAACTATGTTAATTTCTGATGTAATGAAGAGATATGAATGAGCCATTATTAAACTGAACAGAGCTGCAAAATGGTATGACCTCCATTTTTCCGAACTCAGGGTTGGTGTTATACGATGAATATAAAAATATTGTCTTCTTTCTGTCTGAATATTAAATTGTTAATTAGTGAATTGCCATACTTTTCACACAGTGGTCTTATGGCTTCTACCTCATCCACATACAAGGACAAAATGGTTTGGAATTTTATTGCAAAACTAAAGATTTGAAGAAAAAGTGGCTTGAGCAGTTTGAAATGGCATTGTAAGTATATATTTTTCTGTTATGTAAACATTTCCTTAACCAATGCTTTAATATGCATTTTAAATTATAACAATAATTCTGCACACACCAGGATACTCTTTTATCTGCATTTTTGAAAACAGAACTCATAGCTGACATCTACAATGTAAGAGTATTCCTCTGAAACACTTCTAGGAAAAGATAGAGGGCACTCTAAGCTATGTGTTGCTTTCCAGCATAGCTGGTAAGATTGTTTTACTAATACAGTCTGAAACACCTAGGGAAAATATTAATTGTTTTAGCAATAAATATTTAACATAATGGTGTCTGATTTTTCCATCTTTATTTCTTGGTACATTGAAATACATTTTAAGAGATATGGGGATGTTGGCTTTTTTCCTAGTGGCTTTAAACTAATTTATTATGTAGCATTTGGATCAGGTTGCTTGGTTTATTAAGTTTGATTTCCATTGCTTGACATCGTGTGTGTGTGTGTGTGTGGTTTTTCTAATGTAAAAAAATAGCATGAATGTGTTAGACTTCTCAGAAAGTAATATGTCAGAATATAGCACTGCAGATTACATTATAGTTATGTGCTTTCAGCTTTATTTTTATTTCCGATTCTGTTGGAAAAACAAACATGGGTATTGATACTGAAAGTATTCTGCTTTAAATTTAAAACACAGGAACAAATAAATCAGGTGGAAAAGAGACAGTCACTGCGTTATTTTTTTTTTTAAAAGAGGAGGGTGCAGAGGAATATTCCCATCTAAGAGTGGTGAAATTAACAAAGACAGGTTATCACTTATATGAATTTTTGGTTGAATGAAATGGATGTCGTTAGCTGCACTCCATTGAAACACACTTACAACCTTAATTCCTGTTAATTATATTTTTTGTTTAATTTTTTCCCTTTTTTCTTTTAATGAGAGCCAAGAGTTTAAATTGGGGTAGCATAGAAGGTATGCAGGAAGAGAGCCTTACTCTGCCATATGTTCTGAGTCCCACCAAATATGGTTTCCCTTCCTGCTGACATTATCAAATCCGTAGGAGTATATCTGCTAGTGGGAGTTGTTCCTGGGTGTGATAGGTGGGGAGCGGAGAGGCTTTTAATCGGCCAACTACATTGAAAACTAAGCTCTGGGGCCATGTCTCTCTGGTTCCCTGCATATACCTCCTATGCTGTCATTGTTGATACTTTTATTGTTATCTAAATATAAAGAAATATCCCTATTAAAAGCCCCCAACATCCAAATTAATTAGACTTATAATTGAAAATAATGCCCACCCTGCCATAATTTAATTATACAAATAATGGTTAGCTCAGCCAGCTAATAAATCAAAGCAGTAAAACAGCCTCCCCCCCACACATCCATCCTGAGGAACATACCTACAGCCTTGTCCCAGAACTTTTCCTGGTTCCCTGCATGCCTTTTTCCTGTCCCCTCTCCCTGTTCCCTTTCTCTGTGCTATTGGGATTCCCTGCACCCTCTTCATCCTATTTCTACCAGTGTCCTCCCCCAAAACCATATGTCCCTCCTTTTGCCTGCCACAGAGGCACCCTGCTGTGGGTACCCGCATGGCCTCACAGTATGCCAACATTTTTATGGCTGATTTAGGGGATGAGACCCGAGGAGGCATTGTTCTAACGCCCCCTATTCTACTTGTGCTACATTGATGACATCTTCATCATCTGGACCCATGGAAAGGAGGGCCTTGAGGAATTCCACCAGGATTTCAACAATTTCCACCCGACCATCAATCTCAGTCCACACAAGAGATCCACTTCCTAGACACTACAGTGCAAATAAGCGATGGTCATATAAACACCACCCTATACCGGAAACCCACTGACTGCTATACTTACCCACATGCCTCCAGCTTTCATCCAGACCACATCACATGATCCATTGTCTACAGCCAAGCTCTAAGATACAACCGCATTTGTTTCAGTCCCTCAGACAGAGACAAACACCTATAGGATCTCTATCAAGCGTTCTTAAAACTACAATACCCACCTGCTGAAGTGAAGAAACAGATTGACAGAGCCAGAAGGGTACCCAGAAGTCATCTACTACAGGACAGGCCCAACTAAGAAAGTAACAGAAAGTCACTAGCCATCAACTACAGCCCCCAACTAAAACGACTCCAGCGCATCTTCAAGGATCTACAGACTATCCTGAAGGACGATTCCTCACTCTCACAGACCTTGGGAGACAGGCCAGTCCTTGCTTACAGACAGCCCCCCAACCTGAAGCAAATACTCACCAGCAACCACACACCACACAACAAAAACACTAACACAGGAACCAAACCCTACAACAAACCCTGGTGCCAACTCTGTCCGCATATCTATTCAAGGGACACCATCATAGGACCTAACCACATCAGCGACACCATCGGGGCTCGTTCATCTGCACATCTACCAGTGTGATATATGCCATCATGTGCCAGAAATGCCCCTCTGCCATGTACATTGGCCAGAACGGACAGTCTCTACACAAAAGAATAAATGGACACAAATCTAACATCAAGAATTATAACATTCAAAAACCAGTAGGAGAACACTTCAATCTCCCTGGACACTCAATAACAGACTTAAAAGTGGCAATTCTTCAACGAAAAAACTTCAAAAACAGACTCCAGTGAGAAACTGCAGAACTGGAATTAATTTGAAAACTGGATATCATCAAATTAGGCCTGAATAAAGACTGGGAATGGATGGGTCACTACAAAAACTAATTTTTCCCCCTGCTGATACTCATATCTTCTTGTCAACTGTTTGAAATGGACCACCTTGGTTACATTGAACTTATTAGCACTACAAAAGTGATTTTTCCTCCCTTCTTGTCAACTGTTGAGATTAGCCCACTTCCGCCTTAATTGAATTGGCTCGTTAGCACTGACCCCCCACTTGGTAAGGCAACTCCAGTCTTTTCATATGCTGTGTATTTATACCTCTCTACTGTATCTTCCACTCCATGCATCTGATGAAGTGGGTTTTAGCCCACTTAAGCTTATGCCCAAATAAATTTTGTTAGTCTGTAAGGTGCCACAAGGACTCCCCGTTTTTTTTCCTGCTGATACTGGGAAACATGGTTCCATGCCGCATTTTCCTGTGACCCTCCCTCCCATCCCATCCCCAGACCTTCATCCCCAATCTGTGTTTTTTATGCTCCCTTTCTCTCCCTTACCTCTTCCCAAATTTCTTTGCAGCCATGTTAATCCTGATCTCCAGCACCCTCATATTGTGATTCAACTAAAGATAACAATGACTGCACTTTAAATGCCAGTGTATTTGATGCTGTGCATGGACTTCTTGAATTTTGGCCAGTGTTTGCATGAAAGTTTTGGTGTTTTCATATCTTCAAATTATCCTGTTTCTCTCTCTGTGTATGATGAGCTAATGCAGCCACACTTACCGTACTTATAAAAATGGTAGGTGTCAGCTAAGGCATAGCGCTACTCATAATAGTGCTTTGGGAAAGGTAATTTATTGTTCCTGATTATCATAAATGATCAGAACCCAGGGCTTGGAAGTTCAATGAGTTAATACAATAATTTTTCACCTGGGTTCACTTCTGGCCTAGGTCACCAGTGAAAATGAGATTTGTTGGTCTCAGCCTGGTCCCTTATGGATATTTGTCCACCTCATAAACCCACAACACAATTTAACATGATTGGCAGTCGTAATCTAGAGCAACACAGGGCTGGAATAGTAGGGTTACTGCAGGTCAGGGCTGAGTTGTATTAGCAGAACTGAATTGTAACCTTGCATAGTGACATTCTTTGCTCTAGCCAGTATTATTGCTTCCTTATTTGTATAACCACTAAAACTCACTAGATTTAAAAACTTGCAGCATTTAATCAATTTTGAAATCTCATACCTTTTTATTTTTTTGTTATTTGTGGGTTTTGGCTTTATAGAATATCTCCCAAAAGTGGCACTCCCTTGATTTCCCGCTCCCATGAGTTACCTCAGCATGTAGTGTGCTAATGAGATTATAAATGCTGAAGCATGGAGTCTGCCTTTGGGAATAAACCAGGGGTTCTCAAACTGGGGATTTTGACCCCTCAAGGGGTCATGAGGTTATTACATGGGGGGGGGGTCGCGAGCTGTCAGCCTCCACCCCAAGCCTCACTTCACCTCCAGCATTTATAACAGTGTTAAATATATAAAAACGCATTTAATTTATAAGGGGGTCGCACTCAGAGGCTTTCTGTGTGAAAGGGTCACAAGTACAAAAGTTTGAAAACCCCTGAAATAAACTAACCCCATTGTTTTTCCATATTGTATGGTGAGTCTGTTTTTTCAGTTGTATTTCCTACTCTATAAGGTGTCTATTAAAGTATAATTCTGTTCTGAAAAATTACTGTGGTAAAATGAATCCGATGAAGTGAGCTGTAGCTCACGAAAGCTCATGCTCAAATAAATTGGTTAGTCTCTAAGGTGCCACAAGTACTCCTTTTCTTTTTGTGGCAAAATGACAGTTTCTTCAGCACATTCAGAATTGTAATTGCTGACTTAACAGGCAAAACATAACTACGTATTTAGCACTTTTGTTAGGACTGCAAAATCAACACAGCTGAAAAGGAATGAGCTGGATTCTTTCCTGTGCATCAGAAATAGGATTTTACTATGTTCCACTCAGTTATATCTATGCAAACCCACTGCTGTCTGAGAAGCTTCCTGAATGAAGCTAGGGCTGCCCAGGTGTTACTAAAGAACCTAATTTGTGAGCAAATTCAGATCTCATTTACATCAGTTTAAATTAAGAATAGGGCCCAGTCTACGCTAGAAAAGTTTTACTGATATAACTGTCCATTCAGGGTGTGGTTTAAAAAAAAAAAAACTAAAATATTTATTTTTAGCATAGAGGCAGAGGTACTAACACAAAAGGTCCCTTATATTGGTATACCTTATTTTGCTTCCCAAGTCAGAATAACCTATATTGGAATAAGCACATTCAGTATACTTAGGGCTTGTCAATAGAAAGTTTATGAAGTGTCAGTAGAATTAA